CCCGCCCCGCCGCCACCACAGGCGCCCCCGAAGCCCCTCATGGCAGCTCTCCCCAGCCAGCCCTGCAAGGCAGCGTCCCTGGGGGGCTCGCACGCTGCTCCCTCCGGGCCCGCTCCCTTGCCCCCTGCCATAAAGAAACAGCCGAGTGTTACCTCTCCACAGGTGCCACCGCTGTCCCCAGCCCCTGCCAGTGTCACTCCCCCACCCACCTTCCCCAAGCAGCAGAGCTTCTCCGTGAAGCCCCCTGCATCCCCACAGTCCCCGGTGCCGTCGGTGGTGAAGCAGATAGCCAGCCAGTTCCCGCCGCCTCCCACGCCACCTGCCACCGAGCCCCAGCCTCTCAAGCCACTGCCGCTGAGCGTGGCTCCCCAGTCACCTCCGGCCGTGAAGGCAAAGCCCAAGTGGCAACCTATGGTTGTTGCCTCCCCTGACTTCCCCCCTCCTCCACCTGAGAGCAGTTTAGTGTTTCCTCCTCCACCTCCTTCCCCAGCTACCTCTGCAGGTTCTCCCCCCCCTGACAGATCAGGGTCTCCAGTCAAAAAGACCAGCAAGACATCGAGCCCGGGAGGGAAGAAACCGCCCCCAACACCTCAGCGCAACTCAAGCATCAAGTCCACCAGCTCCACTGAGTACCACGAGTCCAAGAGGCCTTCAGTGGACCGCCTTGTCAGCAAATTTGCACACCCTCCGGAGCCCGCGGGGTCTCCTTCCAAGGAGTCATCGCCTCCTGCAGCCCCTCCAAAGCCGGGGAAGCTCAACCTTTCTGGGGTGAGCCTGCCAATTGTCCTTCCGCACGGAGGCATCCCGGCCAAGGCTTCCATCCTGCCCGTAGCCGGGAAGGAGCCCGTGGTCGAATTCCCTTCGCCACCATCGGATTCGGACTTTCCACCGCCACCACCTGAAATAGATCTTCCTCCCCCACCGGTTGAGATCCCATCAGTGTTTTCAGGCAGCACCTCCCCAAAAGTGGCAGTGGTCAATCCTCAGCCTCAGGCGTGGTCAAAACCACCGGTGAAGAAGGCCCCGCCGCCCACGCGTCCCAAGCGGAACGACAGCACACGGCTGACGCAGGCGGACGCAGCGGAGCCGCCCGGGCCAGCCAGCCCCCAAGTGCCCACTTCACCCAAGTCCAGCCTTAGCGTGCAGCCGGGCTTCCTGGCAGACCTCAACCGGACGCTGCAGCGCAAGTCCATCACCCGGCACGGCTCCCTCTCCTCGGCGCGCGCCTCCCGAGCGGAGCCCACGGCCACCATGGACGACATGGCCTTGCCGCCGCCGCCGCCCGAGCTGCTGGCCGACCAGCAGAAGCCGAGCGGCTTTGGGGGCAGTCACATATCAGGCTATGCAACGTTGCGGAGGGGGCCGCCCCCCGCGCCCCCCAAGAGGGATCAAAACACCAAGCTCTCGCGGGACTGGTAGGCGCTGCCCAGGGCCGGTGCTCCGGGGACTCGCGAGCTGCTCCGCCACCACCGGCCGCTGCGACGGCGCTGCCCCGGCGGCGCCTCCGCCACCAGAGGTGACCCCCTGGCCCAGCTGAGGCCGAGTGGTGACACCTTCCCCTCCCGTGGCCAGGCCAAGAGGCTGGGGAGCTTGTGGGGGTGGTGTTTTGTTGGGGAGCGGGTAGAGAAGCTTCAACTTAATCCTTTCAGTTTCTTTTACCCTTCATATGGATTGGACCAAAAAAAAAATCCTTTTTTTCTTATTTTTTCTGCATTTGAGGGGGGGAGATATTTTTTTTGTAGTGTCTGTCCATGTGAGACATGTTCGTGCATGTATTATAAATGTAGGTATATAATATATTGTGATATATTTCGTCGCAATTATAGAAGATAACCAGAATGTTTTTGTAGAGCCGTATTTATTGTTTCAGTCACTACATTATCAGGAATTGGACTCTGTAACCAGTCAAATCTTAACCTTAAGATGAAGATGTAGGGGGCACTTTAAAGAAAAGAAGAGAAAACAATCCACAAACCTCCTTAGGCCGTTTGTGACGGGTAAATGATGCAGCGCTAAGGCGCTCTGCTGGAGCATTGGTCGTTGATTGATTGATTGAAAAATTCACATGCAACATACCAAAACATTCTGGTCGCAATACTACTGAAAATGACGGAGTAAGAGAATAGATTATATGTAATGGGCTGGAGTGAAATATATTTATACTATAAAGAGCCTCCCCCTCCCTCCCAGATAGTTTAAAAATACACACTGCGGCAAATCAAGTTCTAAGTTCTTTTTCCGGGTGGTAAATAGGATAAATATATATTATTCCAATCCATTATGCATTCTGACTTTGTACCAGGCTTGATCATTTGTTTTCATGGCTCGAGTGTTCGCGTTAACCCCTTTTGAGAGCTGCCAGGACTCCTGCAGTGAGCGCCGCCTCGCCAGGCCGCCCCACGGCGAAACACGGCTTGTTGCTCCGCGCGTGCCGCGGAACAGGTAGGTTTCTGCAGATCGCCCTGCCTGCTCACACAGGCGTTCACCCTGGTGAGATGTGGTACCTTTACAAAAGCAAGTGTTGGGAAAACGTTTACAGAAAGCATTGTTCGTAATTCACCAGAAATTGGCGGGAAAAATTCCTGCTTCAAAGGAGAGAAGGAAATGGTAATTTCAGCCTGAATATAGCTGGAATCCAGTTTTCTTTGACCTGTCAGAGACTGTGATTGATGCGTAGGAAATTGCACTTCTACCAGTCAAGGGAGATGACTGGGGGGAAAAGCTGTGGCAGTAACATTCGTTAATAATTTAACGGGCCCGTTAGCAGGAAACAGAAAATCATATTTGGTTTGTTTGTTTATTTGCCACCGATTTTCAATCAATGGCCAGATCGGAATACTAGAGATCTTTTTCTTGTACTTGAGTAGTTTGTACAGTCTTACCCACGTATTGGACGTCGTGTAAAGCTAGTGTAGTTAGCGTAAGTGATCTTGCGTGTCATGCATGTTCAGTGCAGGGTAGTGGTACACAGTCTGTGTGAAGCAACTACAATACTTGAGCTGTACCTACCCCATCCTCAGTTGTTACAACGTCCCTGATGGTGATTGCAGGAATCCTGTCCAGGCTCGGATGGCAAATGATTTTACTTTTCGTTTCCCCAAAATCAAATTTTAAATGCTATCCTTCCCCAAAAAAAGAAACAGAGGAATAGCTTAACTTGACAGTATCTTCATATGTAAAAAATAGATGGAAATTATTCTCTCATTAGAGCAAAATAGATGTAATTCAAGCCGATAGATTTAAGGAATATTGTGTCAGTGTCCCCCATTCCTTTTTTTTTTTAATATAAAATGTTTTTTAAAATCCAAAATAATAAAGTAAATGTCTTTGTGAATAATTTATGAATAGGAAAAAAAAGTTTTGCCAATTAAAGAGGAAAAAATGACACATCTATAATTATATAGTTTTAAATAAGTGCATCACGAAAAAAGAAAAAAAATGGTGCTGTCTCTGTTGACCTGTTTCATATGTTTTTTTAAATCTATTTCAGCGCCTCTGGAAATTGTTCTAATATATCAGACTAGTTTTTTTGAGCAATAAGAATATACCATTGTGTGCATTTTTAAAGCACTGCTGTGGAAAGGCACTTTTTTGTATCTTTCAAAGTGTTCACAAAGTTTCGTTTCTACTATTTTTGTGCTTAAAAAGTGTCCTTAATAGCATTTGCATTGTTGATTTTAAGTACACTCGGTGTAGCTGGCCGGTGCTTCGCAGCCAGACGGCCGAGCTACACGGCAGTTCCTGGGTGCTGTTATTTCCCTCGCTGCTGCTCCTGCTGCTCTGCAGGGTGCGGAGCTGCCGGGCGCGCGGGAGCGGAGCCGCGGGCGCCGCCCGCTGCAGCCCCCGCCACGGCTCCCTGCTCCGTGTCGGCCCCGGCCGCTTCCCGTTGTCCGTCCCGCGCGCGTATCTCTGGGATCTGCTCTAGGCAGAGGAATGTTTTGAGTGCAATTTCTTCAGAGGCATTTGAGCTTTGTTCTCATTTTCCTGTGCCCAAATTTGTTTACCCCGTATCTCCCGCTAGGCGATGAACTCACGCCTACTGCTGCAGGCCGCTGAGCAGCTGTTGGGGAGACAGAGGTGGAAGGCCAGGTCTGCAGCAAAAGGAATGACTGTGGGCTGAGGTGGCAGCCCAAATTCCTTATGTTACAGCTTGCACAATAATGCAAACACGCAGTGCATGGCTGCAGCTCTCAGCTGAACGCTCGTATTGGCTGCAGAGTAGTTCAGGCAACCTGGTGGCCGTTTCAGCTTATGAGACACGCCCCCACACACACGCCCTCATTGCAACTTGCTTTTTCCAGTGTATTTACTGCTTTTGTGAGCAGTAAATATTTATGCCTTATTTGCAAGTTAGTTGCTTTTCTTCACCCTTGAACGCTGGTCTAAAAATTGGATGACTGTATCTATTAAAATTATAAAAGCAAGGAGCCAGTTCTCAGATGCATGTTGAGAAGGTGCTGCCGCAAACATGTTGTGTCCCTCCCGCTCATAAAAAAGGGCCTTGGAAGAGGAACGTTCCTGTTCCCAGCTGTGCAGTGACTGAGGCCAAAGAGCTCCTCTCCCCAGCTTGAGGTGCCAGTTCCTGCGGCGCCGCGATGGGTGAGCGAGTGAGGAGGCATCAAGCGTAGAAAGCAGAGGTACCTGAGTCACTTAGATTCCAGGATAGACTGGAATGGGAGCAAGGTTTTTCTCAAGTGCGTTTTTAATATTTGCTGTTCTGGACTCACATGTTAAGAGAGTTTCATATTTCTTCTTTTTGTGTCCTTAGGCAACCAGATAGCACAAATTAGCTCAGAGATAAAGGTAAAAAAAGTATTGCCCAGTTTTGCTCTGGGTTAAAATTGCTTTTTCCACAGTCAAAGGAACCAAATGTGCCATTTCAGCAGCAGAAAGGGAGAGAGAATTTTTTTTCCTGCTTATTACAAAAAACTGGACACTAAAATGTTTTACTTCTTCAGTGGTGCTATTGCAGGTAAAATTGTTTCTTATTCAAAATAATGACGGTAAGTTTCTAGGTGACCGCTATTTCAAATGCCAAGTCATGTTAAAACAATCATGTTGCCTTGTTTAACTAGGGCTCGGGAACATGTGTTGTGTTAGAGAATCAGATTTACCCCCTGAAAGGTTTACTTGAACAAACGCTTCTCAGCTCGGATCTGTATTTGATCTCTCTCCCACAGAATTTCCAAGCTTGACTTTGTTCCTGCTTGCTAGCGTTTACTTTTAAGTAGCAGCAGAGGTTTATACGGACATTTTCTGTTTGACACACGTGTGTGCGACTCCCAACAGGTCAGCATCTGTGCTCTCCTGTGCTGCATCTGTGACCAAACACAAAAGCAACATGAGCTCCTGACATAAAGCAGGGAGGCTGCAGCCGGGCTGCGCAGGGTGTAGGTCATGTGCGTGGTCCATCCGTGCGGCGGTTCCCTACGGCCTGGGGCAGCCTCCTGTTTAGCTTCACGTTCCCTTGCTCACTTCAGACCCAAACGAGGGAGGATTTAACACTGGGGGGATAGTTTGTCTTAGATGTTTCTGTAATGTGCAGGAGAGGGAGGGCGGTTAAGTTTTTATTTGGGAGATGTAGGTTTGTTGTAAATGGAATCCTTTTGCTTTCAGATTTTTCTTTTTTTCCTTCAACTGAAAAAAAAAAACCCACAAAGACCGATGAAACCAGCATTACAGCCCAGGGTAAGCACTAATGTGAGTTTGAGTCATGGGCTTCTTCTAGAGTTTTGAAATGTTTAAGACGCTAAATTGCAAATAAGGTGACAACACAAGTTTATCCTTCAGAATGTAAAGTAATTGCCACTAATAAGCGAAAAGCAGTGATTTGTGCTGGATGCTGCTTGGTGCTGTGAGGCACTGAACGGGGGGGGAGGTCGGTGAACCCTGTTCACCAGAATTGGGTGGCTTTGAGGGGCCGTGAAAGTTGGGCGGGCGCAGGACAGTGCCCCGTGCCGGGGTTAGCAGGGAAGGAGGGAGAAGGGCCTTGAGTAACCGCCTCACTGGAGGGTTACAGGCACCGTGTCCTTGAGGAGAATTAGGAATTGAACCAACTAGTCCCTGCTGGGGAAAAGTTCTTTCTTCCCATCATTGTAGCTGTGGGAATTTCACTGCTAGCTGTCGGAGCTGGCGTGCAGCTGCAGTGCTGCTGCCGGGCAGGAGCTGCTGGGCATCTGTCCTGGCTGAGCATCCCCACAGCTCTGTGCACCAGCTGGCAAGGGTAGAGGCCAAAGCACTGCCAGGCCGCTACTTTAAGAAGGAAACTAAGTACTTCATCACAAGCAGTAATTGTGAACCCTAGGTCTCCTTCTAGCAGCTGTCTGCTGTGGACCAGAAATTAAACTGGAGCAAGCAGTTTGTTTTATGGCTTACACTGTTAGCAGCCACTGGTGATGTCCTGTATAATACTGGGGATGAAAATGTAAGAAAAAAAAGAAGTCATTGCAATGATGA